TAGCGTGCAATAACTTGTTTTAGATGGAAAACGTTTCAGTTCTATAGGATTCCCTGACTTATGAGTAGCGTGCAATAACTTGTTTTAGATGGAAAACGTTTCAGTTCTATAGGATTCCCTGACTTATGAGTAGCGTGCAATAACTTGTTTTAGATGGAAAACGTTTCAGTTCTATAGGATTCCCTAACTTATGAGTAGCGTGCAACAACTTGTTTTAGATGGAAAACGTTTCAGTTCTATAGGATTCCCTGACTTATGAGTAGCGTGCAATAACTTGTTTTAGATGGAAAACGTTTCAGTTCTACACAGTTCTTGCTGGATGGAGCTTTGCTTCTCGTATTACGAATTCTCGGATATCCTCTTTTAGGTTCAGTGTCTCAGAGTAGAAGCTATATAAACTTGCTTCTTGTGGTTTAACCAACAAGACTTTCGTGACGTAGTTCCCTAGAACTGTAACAGTTTCTTTGTGTAGTTTTAAAGGTAAGGATAGTTATTTCAATTTAGAAAATATTACATGTTCAACGATTAAATTCAGAAATGGTGTCTATACCTATGCAACTATCCCTTACTTTTCAACCACAATGTATTCATTTCTTCTTTTTTACTATTTCTACTATTTTGAGTCAATAGGGCTTATTTACAATATGTATTTGTACCTTCAAAATAACGTCTTCCGTCTTCTTCACTTACATACTAGTATAAGCTACTACTAGAACAACGAAAAGCATCCAACAATGTTTTCCAGCCATTCCTACCAAACACGAACGGAAGTCTCTGAACCTGGAAGTGACGTCATTCTAAAAATGAAAGTATCTTGCAGATGGGATAAGAATCTTAGTTTTTGAGTGAGAATTAAAAGGTTAATCAAGATTGGAGAAAGGAATTGGGTAGGCTCAATTTTTTCCCAGAAGTAGTAACCTATTTCTATTTAAAATATATTTTTAGTGAATAGTAGATGTATTTGAAAACCTAATGTATTTGTTATATGAAATGGGTTTTATAAAAGCTGTAAGTCCGAGTTTTTATTCTTGTGATTATTAATTACTAAAGTTCTCTTAACTCTTTCACACATGGGACATTATATATAACCTTTGACCTTTTAAAAGCGTGGTGTTGACTAAACGTCAATCGAAAATTTCGAACATAATGAAGAGAGGAAATTCCCCTTCAAAAGTCCCCCAAGTTCTTGAGATAACTAATACAACATTAAATAATGCATATTGTTCTTTGATGAGCACCAGACACTAAAATGGTACTGAGAGACATCGTTACGTTGCAATGAAAAAAACTAGTAACTTTATATGACATTTTGCATAACCAACAAATAATATATGTAAATAAAACTTTATTTCTTCGTCCAAAAAAACCATTCACCAACTTTCGAAGTAATACTGTAAATTAACAAACACAAACCATAACATATTGATTTACTTGTGTTTTATTTTTCTACTTACTATATTGTTTAAGACTTAGGACATTGAAACTTAGCATGAGCTTCATAATGTACCGTTACTTCACACTAAGTATGTTAACTTCACCTCGTGATAAACCACTACTTTTAACTTACTAAGTATTTGTAACTTTATCACGCTACCAAGTATTTTGGACTCTCTGAAATATTTAACAATCTTACAACCTGTAAATTGTGAATTTGTCCGTTCAAACTACGTCATCAAGCTACCTACTGAATACAAAATGGCGACAATGAGCTTATGTTTTCTTAAAATGTAACTACATATTAAATATATGTGGCACTAAGTAGAGAACGCTGAAATAGGTTCTTTAGAAAACTATACAATAAAAATTGATTTATTTCCAGAAAATAAAGGAATCTCGTGGTTTCCAACTAGTTGATGAAGTTCTATGGAGTTATCCAAAACCAAAAACACCTACCTCTAAACTAACATCCGGGCAATATAGTACTTAAAGACAACTTGTTCTTCAAAGAAAAACATCGATTTAGATCAATATTTCAACCTAAACTTGGATAAGTATCTCAGTTAAAGATAATAACTTTGAGAAAATAACCATTAAAGAAGGTGACACACGTCAGTAATAACATCTTCAACTCTGCCCGATGTAGGTCTAATTTTTTTAGCCTTTTAAACATAATCATGATCGAAAAATATCAGGCTCGATTTTCACTTAACAACTAGAAACGATGCGATCGTTCTGATTTAACAATTGAGAAATGGCTTCCTTGAAATACATCAGGTTTAACATTCATTTAAAAACATTGTTGTCAAGTTACTTAGCAACAACGGTATTTTACTGATTTAACAATTATGTACTAACTGATCAAAACAGTTTTTCAAATCAGTTGAGTGCGGAAAACTTTTCAAATTTATTCCAGTGCAATTTGTTCAGTAATAGAAGGTGAGCTGTATACAAGCTGTATTTACGTTATCATTAATGCTGTTTAACATTACTGATAATTCAAGTCAACTATCAATACACGAGTTACGTAAAGAAGTTCCACGAAATACACCATTTTTTTTAAAAAAATAAGATGCTTGTGGGAAACAAAACAACAACTTAATATTGACGTGAAACGCAGTAACCATTTTAGGGTCCTAGCAAAACGGATTACTGGTGATTTTTTTTATTTCTGTGCTAACCTGTTTGTATATAGTATTGGTTTCGGTTTATTTCGTTATACTACAGCACGCGTTAGTGTGTATTCAAAAGCTTTACAAGGCATTGATGTCATTGTGTAAACTATCGAATTTTATACAGCTTCTCTTGGCTGCATCTGCATACATGTTCCACCGGTTCCCGGGTAATTCTCACGAGATAGCTGCATTCCCTGCGAGGAACTGGCGGGAACTAGCTCGTGAAATTTGCCTTGTCTCTCGTACGTACAAACAAAACATCCTATATATATAAGATGTTTAACTTATTTGTCAATCACTAAGAAAGGAATAACACATCAGAATAAGTCAATGTACTATAACACCACTAGAGTTCCTTAAACACATCTGAATAAGTCAATGTACTATAACACCTTATTCAGATGTGTTTAAGGAACTGTAGTGGTGTTATAGTACATTGACTTATTCTGATGTGTTTAAGGAACTCTAGCGGTGTTATAGTACATTGACTTATTCAGATGTGTTTAAGGACTGTAGTGGTGTTATAGTACATTGACGATGTGTTTAAGGAACTCTAGTTGAATAAGTCAATGTTCTATAACATCACTAGAGTTCCTTAAACACATAAACATTAATGTATTATAACATTATCTAGCTGTTGACTTATCAAGTTATGTCCTAATATTTCCTTTTGGCTAGTCTAGCTGATGATTTATCACGTTCTATCCAAAATTTCATTTTGGCTAGTCTAGCTGACGATTTTTCAAGTTCTATCTTGTTAGTCTTCCTTCAAACGGTGTTCAGTGTTATTGTGTTAGTCTTCCTTCATAATGTGTTCCATGTTATTATTATGTTAGTCTTCCTTCAAACGGTGTTACTTATTATTGTTATGTTAGTCCTCCTTTAAACGATTTTGTTTGTTTGTTATAGATTTTGCGCAAAGCTACACGAGGGCTATCTGGGCTAGCCGTCCCTAATTTAGCAGTGTAAGACTAGAGGGAGCTAGTCATCACCACCCACCGCCAACTTTTGGGCTACTCTTTTACCAACGAATAGTGGGATTGATCGAAACATTATAACGCCCCCACGGTTCAAAAGGGCGAGCATGTTTGGTGTGATGTGGATCCTTTTTAATGTTAATTCGTAATTAATGTTATTCTTCCTTTCGATGATGATTTTTATCGCT